TTTTAATATAAATAATTTTTTCCTATAAAAAATAATTTTTTTAAGTGAAAAAGAAAATTAAAATTTAATCTGTAGGCCTGTCTGTGTTTTTTACGATATTGGGCTTTTGCTACTTAGGCCTAATACATCGGACTTATGGAGCCCAAAAAACTAGCCCAGTTGATACTCTTTCTTCACTTTAAAAAAAAAAAAAAAGAATGGAAAACCGGTAACGGCGCTTCTCACATTTCATCTTACTCCAAACAGCAATGGAAGCTGCAGTCGGGGTGGGAGCTGGACCATCCCTACCTCTTGTGGTGGTTTCTGTGCTCTTTCTTCTGTCCAGATCCTCTCCACTCAGGAGCTTAACATCATCAATGCCGAGCGCAGGTTAAGCTTCCTTCTGGAATTATCCCGTTTTATTAATTCTTGAGTTTTGGCTTTCCTGATTGCATTAGTATTAATCAAGGCGACACATTTCTGTTTGTAGTTGCTTAGCTCGTTGCTTTCTTATTTTCTGATTATGGATTTTCATGTTTTGCATGGATCATTGATGCAGATTGACCTTACCTCACATATTGTTAAAGTTTTCTTGACTCTCAAGGTATTTCATTTCTTAATGCCCTACTTTAAGTAATGCTGGCATCAGTGGTTTTGTTGTGTTTCATGGCTTGTGTAGCTTACCTACACACTGATCTTTCCATAAGGAAGTGATGAACATTGCAGTATATATTCTCAGAGATACAGCAGCAAAGAGTTTCCTTTTGTTTCCTGGGATTACGAGACACAAGTCAACAGGCAGAGCAGATCTAGTTTGGAGTAGGACTTAATTAGTGATTATTTTGGGTACTAAAAATCTAAAGTTTTTGAACAATGATAGTTGCTTACCATTAGAAATGTAGTTAGAAAATTGTTTTGTTTAACAAGAAATACACACATCAAACTTCTCTTTTTTCTTACAATAGTTTAGTGACATGTTTGATGATTACCATATGGGAACGGGAAGAAAGCAGGTAGGAATGCTACTGTAGGGAACACTTCTGGGATCCTTTCTTTTGTGACATATCTGGCTCCATTTAGGGAGTTCATTTTGTCACATACTACTAAAAAACCTAAACAAATTTTATAAATCCTCGGAACACTTTCTTTGACATATATATAGCATTTAAAAGGAAAGGAGAACAACACTTGTACTAGTTGTTTAGATAGAATTGGTATGGCATTATGGACTTGAAAGGAGTATATCTGTATATGAATCTGAACTCTTCCAGGTCTCCAGTCTTGCCTGCTTATTTAAGGTCATCATTCATTCACTCCCACCAGCAAACTACCATACCACTGCATCTAGTTGTGAACATTAATTATGAAAGAACCAACAAATCCTAATGATTTGTACCCAACCAAAAAAAAAATCTATAATAACAATTGAAAGTCTATCCAGTGAATTAATTTCCGGTTAATTATGAAGCTGAACGGTCTGTTTGTTCGTTTGTATAGTATCCAATAGGTTTCAGTTCAGCCTCCAAACTGAGTCCCAAAAGTGTATGGAAAAGGCCCTTCATAAATCATAATGGATAGACTTTGGCTTCCTTTTGCAATGTCTCACCGTGCTTTAACTTTATATGTATATATATATATATATAAAATTTTAAAAATGTATAAAGTATTAATTAAATTATATATTAAATATATTTTTAAATACATTTTACATATTTTAAAATATTAAAAAATTAAAAAACTAACATCTATACTTATAAACTAACACTTTTAAACTAAACCTTTAATTGATTATACTTCTTATATACTTTGATCGTACATCATCTTAATTAATATTTTATATATTTTTATTAATTTTAATTAATATTTTATATGCTTTTATAAAAATAAAAGAATAGACAAACAAAGCCAAGGTTTTGTTTCTCTAGCTAGTCAGATTTTTGAATTACTTTGACGGTAGTGTTTCCAAAAGAACTTGAGCGAATTTGTTCACAGCTTTGTTGACCAACATTCAGTGCATATTCCTCTCAAATTTTCTAGTACTGGTGGATGGTTTGTTTTTAACAAGGATGACTCCTACACCAGAAATAAAAAAAAATGTAAAATACAAGCGCTATATTTACCTTCATATATGATATATCTTCACAGACGTTCTTGTTTCTTTTTTTTATTCTTCTTCTTCATAATTCCTTTTAATATTGGGGATATATATATATTTTTTATTGGAGAGTGAGGTATCTCGAACTACTTGTACATATATTAAAATGAGGACTGCTATGTGCAATCGTTTTTCCTCTGCACTCTCCAACA